ATTGAGCAATACATGAAAAAAAAAGAACTATAAACTAGTTCATTTTTTGGAACTGTGAACTTAGTTCAAAATTTTGAATTATGAACTATGAACTGAACTAGCTCATTTTAAAATGTGTGAACTGAACTTTGAACTAGTTTACATAGAAAGAGAACTTTCCCAACACTGTTGATGGAAGCGCTTAACAGCAAACACAATTGCCAGCCCTTCGTTATTTAGCTGCGAGTATCCTTCTTCTGCAGCTGTTAACGTGCGTGAAGCAAAACCAAAAGGCTTCTCTGACCCATCCTCGTGGGACAGCACTGCCCCTACACCGTACGGCGATGCATCACATGCAAGGTTCAACTCTTCTGGCAACTCTTTGTCTGGATCGAAGTGCACCAGATATTTCGCTGACTGGAGCAATTCTTTCACGTCCCTAATGCTTTTTCTTGCTCCTCACACCACTGCCACTTTGTGTCATTGTGCAGTAGTTTATACAGCAGCGCCAAGACCTTTGAGAGGTCCTGTAGGAATTTTCCATAGTAATTCACCATTCCAAGGAAAGATCTGAGTTTGGTGATGTTCTCCTGTATAGCTCGGACTTTGTCTTCCACTGGGCAGATACCCTCGGCTGTGATCTTGTGTCCTAGGTAAGTGACACTTGGTGCCATGAACACACATTTGTCCCTTTTTAGTCTCAGCCCTGCATCTAAGAGTCTCTGTAACACCTGCTCCAAGTTGCTGAGAAGTTCAACCTTTGTAGACCCCATAATGAGCAGGTCTACGTGTGGGATGCCCTGCAACAGACTGTCCATTGTCCTTTGGAAAATGGTGGTTGTATTTGAATAAACCCTTGTGTGTGTTGATGGTGACGAACTCCTTAGACTCATCGTATAGCAGCAGCTGTTGATAGGCGTGGCACATGTCCAGTTTTGTAAATGACTTTCCCCCAGCCAGAGTTGCAAACAGGTCATCTACGCATAGCAGCTTTGACACCTGGTTCACAGTAAGCTTATAGTCCCCACATATTCTCATTGTTTTGTCAGGCTTCATAACAGGAACAATGGGAGCTGCCCACTTGGAGAACTGGACTGGCTCAGTGATGCCCAGCGTCTGTAAGCGTAGCAGCTCCTCCTCCACTTTCTGTTTCATTGAGTAGGGTACCACTCTGGGCTTGTAGAAACGTGGTGGGGCCTTGGGGTCAATGTGGAGTTTCAATGTCATTCCTCTCAGTGTGCCCAGCTCGTCCCTGAACACCTCACTGTACTGCTGTAGAACATCCTCTGTTGTGGCTGTGTACTTTACCTCATGCCAGTTTGGTTTAATTTTTCTATGTCAGTCACGACCCAGAAGACTAGTTCGACTACCCTTTGCCACCACTAGTCTCCCCTCAGCCTTCTGATTTCCCACTGCAATGCTCACCTTTAGCACTCCAATGTAGGGAATGGGCGGACCAGTGTACGTCCTCAGCTTGAGCTTGGATGGAGACAGGGGTGGTGGGTTGGAACTCCAGGTCCTCCTGTAGATCTCCTCGCTGATGACAGACACTGTCGCACCTGAATCGATCGCAAACTTAACATCATCTCCATGTACATTGACTCTGGTATAGTATGGCATAGGCGGGTTCTCATCAGTGTCCATTGCAAACATGTCAAAAGAGCACATAGCCTCCTTGCTAGCTTCCTCTACATGGTGTGTGTGAGCCTGATGTTGCTTTCCCTTCCATTTTCGGTCTTTGTTTTGGTTTAGACCCTCTGCACTTCTTTTCTTAATGTCCTTTTTTCTTTCACCCGAGGCAGACTGCATCCTTGAATTTGCATTCATTTGCATAGTGTGCCCCTCCACACCTAAAACATTCAACTGGCTTGCCACATCGCGAACTTTCTTGACATGCTCCAGCATGCCCTTTCTGGATGTCTTTGGCATTGCTAGCAGCCCTTTCCATGCCCTGAGAAAACTCTAGAGCCTTTTTGAAAGTCAAAGTTGCCGTATGCAGCATCATCATTTATGCCGCATACCAGCTGGTCACATAGTATGTCATCTAGCACCACTCCGAATTCACAGTGCTCTGACAGCTGTCTAAGCTCTGCTAAGAAGTTAGCCACGGACTGGCCTGACTTTCTGAAGTGACTGTGGAACTTGAAACGCTGAACAATTACAGAGGGTTTCGGATGGTGGTGGTCGCTAATGAGTTTGACTAAGTCTGCATATGGAATTTCACCTGGTTTCCGTGGTGTAGCCAAGTTCCGAATCAACTTTTGCCCCACACACACTCATGAGAATCGAGCGCTTCCTAGCCTCTTCAGTAATTCCATTAGCATTGAAAAAGTGTCCCATACCTTCCTCATACTCAGTTCAATCCTCATCTCCCTTCACATACTCACCGATAGGTCCAAATGTTGCCATGATCTGTACAGGTCATTGTTCTTCTCCCTGTCCCCTTTCCACAGCAACTGGTGCTCTGTTCCCGTTGCCAACCTCCTCTTGTCCCTCGGCGATAGCTTGTTTTCGTTCCTTTACCCCGGTTTTATTCAAAGAGGCTTGTCGCCTAAGCATGCTATAGCACTTGACTAGCTAAAGCTAACAACAAAACAAACGCGAAAACAAACTCCAGTTTACTTCATCGCCAAAAATATGTGGTAACTTCTCTTCAGTGAACCACACTAATACTGATGCCGAGTTTGTATTTTATGTAAGGTCCAAACCATACAGGTAATGGACTCGGAGAGAAACTGTTAATACAACTTGCCAACATCCGGTCTTCTTCTATGGTTGTGAGATCTACACTCTGAGCTGGATAATACACATTCCTACATTCTATAATATCGGGCGCCATCTATTGATAACAATTACAATTGCCCATATTAACATCATTACAACAGGTATTTTTAGAAATGCAAGAGTTTAACAGGATATAGATCAAATTGATAACCACAGACCTCATTCACTTTTATACTGTATGACGTATTGCTACACTAAAAGCTGCTTTATTTATTTCAGGCTACAGGTGATAAAAACAGACCTGCAGTCCCACCTCGAATCCACCGCAGCCTCTCAATGTCCAACACCCCTGGCTTACAGGTAAGACCTCCTCCTTCAAAGCTGGTGACCACTGCCGAAGACATAAAACTGCTACATAGGGACAGGTGGTTATCAAAGCAATTTATGTGGTCAACTCAGTTTATGAAGCATTTATTGTATTGTTTATTTTTGCTGTTAAACATTTTTATAACTTCAAAAAAATCTAAATTTAAATCTAAATGAAATCTCTCATACTTAAAAATAGGGATGTTCCTATCCAATATTTATATCAGAAATCAGCCAGACAAATAATATTAGAAAATATCAGCCTGGATATAAAATCTCAGATATTTCTCTGATAGAAACTCTCTGCTTCTGGCTAAAGTATATGCAACCCATTGGTTAACAACAAATGGGTGAGTTATTTTCATTTCTATACCCTTCGAGCAAAAATTGGTTGAAGTTACATTGTAAAGACTAAATGATTTACGTCCAAACAACGTAACAATGATTTTTGGACTAAATCAAGCCTATCAAAGACCGACGAGATTTAGCCTGAATGATGTTGTTTGGGGGGATTGTTCTTCACTGGTGTTATCCATCCAACACTACAAAATAAGAAATAAATGTAGCTTATATATATTATTTGTGCTGAAGTAATTTCTTTTAAAGTTATTTGTATGAGGGTATCACATTTCAAATTTGACTCAGACAGTTTAGCTTAAAACCTGATTGTGAATCAATGTTTCCTTTTGACAGGTACTGGTTGCTGAGGTTACCAAAGTTATACAGTAGTAAATATGGCTGCAGTGTTACAAGGGTATAGCATTTTTCCAGCCGCATCCTGTTAAAATAAGATTACTCTTAAAACCATAGATGATGTATATTGTAAACATAATCTACATTAGTAAAAAGCACAGAACTGCATGATACACAACATCACTTTTATTGTCAAGAAAATTAAGCGTAATTTGCCAGCAGCAGTGGTTGCCAGTATTTTACTATACAAAATACAGAACGGCACATGAGATTTTAGTGTTTAAGCCTTTCAGTATGAAGAAATAACAAAGTAATCAAAACACACACTTTTGCTCCACATAAATGAATTATTTATATCAAACCAGTTAGGGAAAACAAAAGTGATCTGATTTCCTGTCCAGTATCCTTACAAAGTATTGAGATCTGAATAAAATAATAATACTACATCATGTATCCAAATGAATTTAATGTACTTAAATTTTAGGGGTAAAAATCTTTTTGGTAACTCAGTAAACATGGAGTGGATATTTAGACTAAGTACCGGTACTACATATTCTGTAAATGTGGAGGTTGTTGTGACACCCATGGTTAGTTGACACACCTCAATTTAACATGTCCCTTTGGTCAAATTAGTTTTAGTATTTACAGGTTATTTATTCAGTTTTACTTATTTTTAAAATAATTATATTGAAGCATTGTTGAAAAGCAATATTTGATTTTCATTTAGTTTCATTTAGTTAGATTTACTTGTTAGATCCAAGGCATTTCAGTGACCATTGTGGGTTTTTATTTAATAAATGGAAACAAGAATTTTGTTAACGTATTTAAATAATTTGCCTGGCCTTTGTTGAGGGATCTGTAAATATGACGATTTGCCAAATAATCCCAAATTGCTAAAGCATGCAAAGCTGAGAAATTAAAATAAATTTAATAGAAGACTTGAATTAATGTTTGAAATTTAAAAATGTTGCAAAAACCAGAAAATCAGTTGTAAGATGAAAATGCTTTCCTGATACTACATAGCTATTATACATTTGTTGTCACATGTATTTTTGTGATTTGATATGTTAACCACTAGCTAAAAGTCATGACTTCATGTGGCAAGATCAAACTTTGTTTTCTTTTTTGCTTTTTGTTTCTTTAAAAGCTATTAAAACCAGAAACAAAAAACCTGGCAAAACCATGTACGAGGGTCTTAGATGAATTCCCTGATCCTATCTATGAAGACCCAGATTCATTATTGGTAATGGATTTTATTATTTTGTTTGGTAGAATATTACCCCTGAAGACTTTTGTTTACAGTGGGAATAAATATTAACAATAATGTGTTTTCTGTGAAATACTATTATCTTTTATTTTTTTAGAACTCTATCCCAGATGTAAGTCAGTCAGAGTCTATACCCAAGCCTGTACCTGTGCCGAGGAGAAGATATAGACAAAATCTACAACTATATGATTCCAAAAACACAACCAAAGCAAACTACGTCAGCAAAACCACACCAGGAAAAAACAATAACATGACAAACACAACTGCCACAACATGGACAACCAACATTCCAAATATCCCCAATACAAATTTCACAAACTACAGTACCGACAGGACATTGGAGACAAACACGATTGGGAGAACTAGAACAGATTTGGATTCAGATTCAGATTCAGATTCTATTTATTCGCTCCACCTGTCGGAACCTCTGAGAAAAAACACAACCTACGCTACAACAGTCACATTAACCCAAAACATCAAGACACCAACTTTAACCAGCGTTGGAACAGTCAACTCAACCTACAACGATCACAGAACCAACCAGACCAACACAGTTTATCCTTCACACAAAACAGCCTATACAGGACTTTGTGCAGTAAGTTGAGCACATTAAAATATTGTCGGTCTCTCACTTTGCCTTAAAGAAGACAAAATCATTAAGTACTAATTATTTACATGTCATTCTGTGAACAGACTATCCAAAGTCGGAATGACTCAGAAGTCTACATGATACCGCGCCCTGTTCGCCAACCTCAACAGATCCCACCTGGGGCCAATGGCATAGATACATCAACAAATGGCAGCCTACAGTATTATGATGTGAGAACAGATAATAAAGGTGTGAAGGTAGGTGTTATAGCAAAAATGTTTTTATTTTTTTTCCTTTGAAAATTCTGCACTTTATTTTGAAAGTTCAGAATTTGACTTTGTTTATATAGCATGTCATTTTGTAAACAGAGTGTTCAGAGAAGGAATACCTTAGACTGCAACATGATACCTCGCCCTGCTAACAAACCTCTCCTTCGGCCTGAATCATCCAAGATCAAGGGCATGATTTCAACAGCATTTGACAGATCACAGAATTATGACATGGGAACATATTTGCATAAAAGCTTGAAGGTATATGTTATAGTCAAAATATATGTTTTCATCTGGAAGAGTCTGCAATTGGCTGTGATAGTTATTTCAATACCAAGTTATTTTGTGAACAGACTAATCAATGTAGAAAGAACTGGTAGGAAGAATGGTGCCTCGTCTTGCTCACCAACCTTCAACTTTACCATCTGAGACTAAGGAGTGAATTCAACAACAGATAGCAGTCTGCATAATTATGACATGGGATTGTATTTAGTCATACATACATACGTACCTTACTTGAATCATATATATATATTTTTTTTGCTGAAGCTGGTTTAACCTCAACATTTTATAACTTTGTATCTGTGTTTTTTCCATTTTTAAGAAACCACCTCCTCCTCCCCCTCATCCTTCTCTTAAACCTACCCCTCTTTACTACGGCCGAGAAAATTCCACTTTGCAGGTAAGACTACAGGTGTATATTTCACCTCTTAAATTTTCATTATTATTTGGGTCAGATCAGTTTCTCATCAGATAATACCAGAGACCAGGACTTTGACTTGTTAACTGAACTCAAGGCATCTCAAGTCAAGTCACAGCCCTAACTTCAATATACAAACATACTCACAACTTTTTTCTTACAAAGAAGTTTTGACTTATTTACGCTTTCAAAACATAACAAACTTCTTCTAAATTCTAGACCAGAGACAACACAAACAGAGCTCCACCTTTACATCAACATCAAAAGTATCACAGTGGCTCAATGGTGGACCTGCGTTACTTAGAGGTAAGTCGTTTAATGCTTGGGCTGGGCAGACAACTCTCTCCTTGATAAAAACAACTTTTTTTTTATATCTGCATTTTTTTGTTATTCAATGCAATATACATTTCAAGCACTTGACCCTGGTTTATTGCAGTTTAGCCAAAATATTTAATTAAACTATTAAATTTATTTTTGGTTGTTTTTGCCAAGAAAATTATTACAGGGGTGGCCAAGCACAGAATGCAACTGTTTTTGACATCTACTTAATCATATTTAGTTACATTAACATAATTGATTTATGCCACCCTTACATTAAAAATTGTAGTAAAGTAACTAAATAACATTAAGTAAATGCCAAAAATGGTTGCAAAATTTTTGGTGGTGCAATGTACGCTGAGGGGTGACCAAACGGGGAAAGGTGCTAAAACCAGTTCAGTGTCAAGGCTCAGAAAGTAGGACCCAGAATTCAGGCAGACAGAACAGATGTGTTTAAAAACAAAACGCTTTACTGACTGCTCTGTAAAACTGTGGTTCATCAGCTGGGACCGGCTTACTGGAATCCCTGTAATGATAGAAACTCAGGTTAGTGACCACAAAACTCATACGGGGGATGATAGCCAGCAAGTTCTGTCCATTCCCAGAGGAAGAGGTGGAATCCTGCCGGATGGTTCTCCACAGCAGGAGGCAGGAGCTGCCCAGAGAGTTCCAGGAGTAAAGCACAGCAGACTGATGAGCGGAAGCCAGCAGACAAGGAAGAACAGAAGAATTGGAAGGAAGAATCCAGAGCAGGTGTCGATGCAGGAGCAGATGTCCAGGCCAGAAGATCAGTGAGACGAAGAGCTACTGAAGGGGAATCCAAACCGGGGTCAGGGGACAGATAAGATAAGGTCAGAAGTCCAGAGGCAGAAACTAGTCAGAATCAGTTAATCAAAACACAACTGGGTACGCTAGAGAACTCTCACACACAGCTTGAATAATCTGGCACGGACGGCTGGAAGCAAGCAGCTTAAATAGGAACTGGAACAGGTGGATCAGATGAGAGAAGTGGAATACTGGGCGGAGCTAAGCAGGTGGAAGAAATGAACAAATAATGCAGTCATTAGTGCCAAGATTATGACATTCAGGGTAAATCCACTCTGTACCAACAGGAAAATGAACCCACACAACATCAGTATTTTCCAAATAAAGACTAATTAAATGTCCCTAAAGCCCTTGCTAATGAATACACACATATATTTACACATCCATGCACTCTTAAGAAAATGTATACTGTTTGCACTTTGGTCTAGCTTTGGTTCCAGGGGAAGCCTCTTATCTGTTGGTCGGGTGTTGCTGTGCATGCACACTTTGGCTTTTGTTCCCCAGTTCGCACTGTGAAATGTGAAAGTGGCACAAAAATGCAACTTACTATTTTATAAAAAGCGGGAGGGCTCAGGAGAAAGAAGCATGAATCAGAGATTTGGGATATTCTTTCATTTGTAGGATGGCTCTCTTTGATTATGCATTCCTCACTTAAACAGTAAGAAATTACCTAAGTGCCCGTTTAGCCTTAATTTTCATAGCTTCAAAAAGATTTTTTCGCATTCTTTTTAAGCAACCACCTCTTCTTCCTCCTTATCCTCATCATGAACTTACCTCCCATCTTTACTGCCATAGGGAAAATCCGGCTTCACAGGCAAGACTACAGGGGAATTTTCTTTCCTCTTTGATTTATCATTTTGGTCAGATCAGTTTCTCATCAGATAATTCCAAAGGTGAGGATTTTGACTTGATTGCTTGACTCAAGGCTGTCTCAAGACAATTCACAGTCTTGACTTGTAACTTGGATAAACATACTTGCAACTTAGGAAGTTATAGTTTCTTACAAAAAATCTGTCTCATGTTTTCCAAATGTAATAAACTCTTTTTAAATTTTAGGCTAGAGACACCACAAACAGAGCTCCACTTTTACATCAACGTCGTAAGGTTAGTCCTTCTATCCAGCATAGAAAACTATCCTAGACTTGCATAAAACAATAAGTGTTTTTGAAATGTGCAATTCTTTGTTTATGAATACCATCTCTACAATTTTGTTTAATTTTTTTTGTCCACTGTAGCAGTCCCCGTGTTGCTCGTTCAGTCTATTCTTTGATGATTAGCATTCAGTTAAACCTTAAAACCATCAGCACTTGAATCAGAAAGCTTATTTCAAATAAAAGACGAACAAAACTAGCTATTCTACCTAGTTCACCCAAGCAGAACACTTTTTGATGGATGTTTTGGCTCGGCAGAGTGGAAGGCCTTCGCTTCAGTTTTGTTCTTTGCAAGCCCCGTCTCTCGTCTGTTCATCCAAAAGCAGCTCTCAAAGATATTTGGGTTAATCTGATGCAATAAAAAGAGGCAATTTGGGGGGGTGGGGGTTCATTTTATAAATCACTGTAGCCCGGGATGTCTCCCTTTAGATACGTTGAGTTATAAAATTAACCCGGTTTGCTGCCAGCCGCAGCCCTCATGCAGCAGCGGCAGTATCTCAGCGACTTTTAATTGCTCCTCCCATCAAACAGCAATTGGGCCCCGCTGTTCGGTAGTTAGATTTAGGTTACCAGTACTGGATTATCCCTCTCTCTGCAAACAGTTTTAGGAAACACTGTGTTCAGCTTGGTTTGAATCGAGGAATAAAAAAACCACAGACCTCTCGGTAGCTACTTAGCGTAGCTTTCAGATGAGAAGCTCTTAAATCTAGCCTATAGCAGCCGTAGGCCGCCGCCAATAGTTGAATTGGAAGCAGTTTGTTTTAAAAAAAAAGTCTATTGAAGGGGTGTGCTTTCAGAGGTGAGTAGTTCCGATTACATCATCGTCATTCGATCCCAACATATCTCACTAAGGGATACAGAACACCATGCATTAGAGTAGATAAGATTTTTTCTATTTAGGTTACCGTAACATAGATGCATTGATGGTATCTTTTCATCAAAACTATGGTTTAATGTTTTAAGATATAATTGTTTTAAAGCAATATAAAAGCTTGTAAACCTATCCTCACCAGCTGACTAAATTTGAATCTCCTTAGACCCTACAGCTCTCAGTTTGGCCCATTAAGTCGCTGTCTGATTGTGGACATCATGCACATGAACTAAATTTTGTTCTACTTCTATTATCCTGTAGCCTGACGTAGTCCGACTCAATTCTAGTCAGAATATGAGTCTGATACTGCTCCATAGAGCTGTGATTATGGGGCGTGTTTCGAACGAACCAGGAAAAAAAATGCCTCTGCACTCAATTGGATAGATCTACAACCAATAAGAGCAACGGAGTGCGTGACGTATGTTAAGCGAGGCATAGTTGTTGTCCACAAAAATCAAAGCGTGCAGTTTCGCTTTTCTCTGTTCCTCTTTTAAAATTAATTTGCTGTCGATATCTTCTAGAACAGACCTAATAGCAGAATCTACTCACCCAAACTCTCCAGCGGCAGCCATTATTGTTGTCGCCCTAGCGCGCTTTGGTCACGTGGTTGATTACGTTACTGTTGATCATCTGTCCATCATCGTATAAAGTCCGCCCTGACAATTTGATTGGATCGCCTGACAGTGGGCTTTAATACTCGCGCTACTATGGAGCAGAGCCAGACCGAACTTCCCCGAACTCAAACCTTGTGGGCGGGACTAAGTTCTGACTGGCACCCAGGCTAATTATCCTGCAAACAGGAAGTTGGAATGAGCTGCTAGTGTGGGTCCTTAAGCAAGACCCTTCACACTAATGCTTGCTTTGAGGGTGGCGGCCTAGCGGTTAGGGCATTGCACTTGGAATCCTGAGGTACTGAGTTCAAGCCCCAATCCCGTGGACCACCATTCTGGCTCCCTGAGCAAAGATCATTTACCCCATACTGCTCCCCGGGCACCCACTGCTTCCCAAGGAGATAGGTTGAATGCAGAGAGTTGACTTTGTTGCTCTTTGCTGTTGACAGAGTAATGCCAATAAAAATGCTGGCAAAAAAAATGATCAAACAGTAATTAAAAATCCATTATCCATTAAACCTTTTCATATTGGGTAAAAAATAAAACCGCAGATTTCAGTAAATTTAATGGGACTTTGTGACAGACCATCACCAAGTAATAAATACATTAGAGTAAAAAAGGTCAAAGATACATGGGGTTTTCTAAACATAATACAACTAAACACCTTACAGAAAGCTGCCATGGATTTGTATTGACCCCACAACTATCCTTAATAGGCATAATAACTTTGAGTGCAGTTGAAACTGCAGGTATTTTAGGTTTTGTCTTTACCAGCTTTGAATATCTAGAGACTGTACTTTTTCCCTGGCTGTGAGCCAAAAACAAAATCAACATTAATGCTGTGCAGGTCAGGCGACTGTTGATTTCCTGAGGTTAAGCAATTGTATGAAAGTGTCCACAGATGTGTCAGCAGTACAGAGAAAGAAATACTAATTACTTGGACATCAAATACTGAATTTTTATCTGGCAATTAAGACATTTATTTTGATCTATTATAGAGCAGAGATGCACCTCCGTCGCTCAACCCTGAGGAGGAACCATTCATGAGCTCAAGAATGTTTAAGTACAACTACATGGGCCCTCAAAACACTGACTATCTACCCAATTATGACTTTGTTGATGTAAGAAGCTCTTTTTACTGGAATATATGTTTTATTACCAATCTTTTAATTATTTCTTTATGTGAAAACCTCTCAGACACTAGCATCCACTGGTCCTTATGATGCAGATAACCAGAGCACCTATGATAACTTGTATCAATACTCTCCAGAAGTAGGTTTATTTATTTATTTATTTTTTTTACTTTTCTTATTCTGCAGTTAAACAAAGACATTTTATCTGTATTTAAATGACTAAAATAATAATCTGTTTCCTTAAGGACATCCCTGAGCTGCTATTCTGGTTGAATAAAGTATCTAGTAAGTACAATGTTACATAAATTGTTATGTTGTCTTCAACCAAAGATCACAAAGTGGTTTGTTTCCTTCATTGATTTAAATATTCATATGCATTTGTGTTGACTCTATATAAGAAGTAATTTTTTATACACTAATCTGTCTCACAAATTACTAGAATTATGTGTTGTCACCCTGTTTCCTGCTCTGTGTTTAGAACTATGGGATACATTTTATAAAAGTTAGCATTTTACTCTTTCCTCCATAGCTTAGACAAAGCATGGGCATTGGCAAAAAAAACAGACTTTAAATGCAGCTAAGCATACAATTTCAATGACAACAATGAAAGTACAATTAAAAAAATCAAATCTACCAAGGTGATCAGCCGCAGGTCTGACCAAGCGGCAGTTTTTTTTTCTTGCTCAGATGTAATCACTGCACAACTCCTGCTCCTCAAGAGATCGTAGTTCTGGGGGAGAACATACCAGGAAAAGCTGATCAGCCAATTAGGGGCTTCCCTGGAATAACATAAGTCGTAACAAGAATCATAAACCAGAGAGATCTAACACTTAAATAAGATATAACTACAAAAATACTTTTCAAAGACTGTGGCCATTTTTTTATTCTTAGAGGTTTAACATTTGATCAATCTCTGGAACTATTAAACTGGTTTTATTTAAATCTGATTAATAGAAACTGTTATCAATTCCTAGGTAATATTGAATGTTTTTCATTAATAATTTCTAGCTTCTATAAAAACAAAATTACATCAAGACAATCATTGGTTTTAACCTTACTTTAAATAACTTATTGATATAGTAAATCACCATAAAACATGACTTAAAGTTTAACTGCAATTTCATCTTAACTAGACAAGGACGATTGCTCAGATTACAGCACAGGGCTCCTGTTATTGTCATAGGAAAAAAGTAATGCTGCGTTCACACCGGGCGCAGCAGGCACGACAGAAGCAGCGAGTTTACATGCAAAGTCAATGGTTGACGCGCGTCAAGGCGCAGCAAAAGGTCCCGCGGCGCGTTTTGAGCAGCAGGCGCAGCGCGTCTGAGCAGCTGAAGCAGCGCGTCGGGAGCGTTTAAGCATCTGACGCGCTTGACGCGCTGCAAATGTGC